TCGAAGCGCTTGGCTTTGTAAAAGGCGGCGAGGCCTTCACGCCTCTCCAAAGTGAACTAGCGCGCTTCATGATGGGGCTACAATAATCGGCGCGGAGGTGAGAGATGGGGGGAGTGTACTGCAGCGAGTGACATCGTTCGGAAGGGGGGGAAGTGGTAGGGTTCTCCGTTGTACTCTAACGCGGGCGAGGATGGCGAGGAAGATTGAGCTACTAAGAGCGGAGCTCAAGGAAGAGCAGAAAAAGATCAAGGGCGAGGAGATGGTCGCCCAGGTCTTACAGCGACAGCAGGGATATAAGATACTCGACGAAGAAATTCGCCAACAAGTCGAAAAACAGACGCGGGACATGGTGAGGTTTCTGCAAGGGAAGGGCTTCAATGTCACCGATGGGAGCAAAGAAAAACCACCGGAAACGGAAGCGGACCAGGAAGCGGCAGCATTGGCGAAGAAGGCTGCCGCTGCTCGAAACGTTTCAAACATCCAGAAAAGGCAGCAAGAACTGGAGAAAAAAATGGCAGAAGAGAGGGAGAGGCTCTACGCTGATTCAAACGCGCAGCGGCTCGCGAATCCGGGGCTTCATGTTAAAACGTCCATCAATCGGCCGGCGGACCCAGAGGAAGCGGAGAAATCGGAGAGCATGCTAGGGCTGAGCTCTAGCCGGTTGCTCATGGATTACATGACTTACCTGGATCCAAAATCTTCCGTGAATGGTATCGTGTTAAACTATTAAATAGCTTCGATGATTATGGTTCTGCCCGATGTTAAACGTGCAGGGATTTGCAGCGTATCTGATTTAATAGCTGTAATCGCTCAACATCGATAGCAACAACGAAGAAGTAACTAAGGAAGCATTTGAATTAATAAAGAAGAAGATAGTACATTTCAAGAACAATCCCAAAAAGTACCAAAAAAGAAACTAGTATCAAACCATACGAGAAAATGGCGAAAGTTTTGTGCATTCATTGCAAGGAGCCATACTCGAAAGCCGGGATTTATATGCATCAGAAATGGTGCAAGTCGCAGCCTGGATATCAAGGTAGGGCACGCCTTGAACTTTCCCAATCCTAGCCTTTTTCTTAGTATTTCATAGTAGCAGAGCCTAGGCGATGGCTTTTAGTTAGTGAGTACATTTCATTCAGTCCAGAGA